TAATATTTTCTGAATCTTTTTAAATTTCAATTTTAGTTTTAAAAATCTTTTAATTTTATTTTTTATCACAATATATGGTTATTGGGTTGTTCTCGCATTCTCGTAAATCACAGGGTTCTCGCATTCTCGTAAATCACAGGGGTTCTCGTTTGAACCCTTCCCTATATATATATATATATATATATATATATATATTAAATTTAACAGAATCAATTAATCGTTGTGGAAAAAAAACTAGAAATACAAGCCATAAATTAATATAGGTTTTATTAAAAAAAAATGTTATTATCTTCTTTGTATTAAGGGGTTGTTTGGGATTGCTTATTTGAAACAACTTATGTTTTTTTTTACAAAAGCACTTATCAACTTATTATAAGTCATAAAGGTTCAACTTTTTCAAAAAACTTCTTATTACCGGTTTGACACCGGTATAAGTTGTTTATCTAAACAATCAAAAGTGTTTATTACCGGTGCAACACCGGAATAAGTCAATAATTTGTTTTTATAAGCAATTCCAAACACTCCCTAATTAACGTATCATATTATTAAAGATTTGTTTTAATTTTGTTATTAATTAACTTTCTAAACTATCTTATTGGTTATTTTACATGCTTATAAGCATCTCCAATTGAAGGTTCTTATTGAGATATGACATTTTCCTTATTTTTTTATTTTATTGACTTTATAATTAAGTAATATAATAATTATTGATGTTGACTACTATCTTAGACTTTTAAAAGAGTTCTTAATTTGATGAGTTGGAAATAAGTAGACAGCAAAAATGTAAAAAAGAGGTTCTTATTAAGAACATCGATCGGAGATGTGCTCCACAATGGTAGTTCTTATAAGTCACTACACTTTTTGCTGATAAGGACTTTTCTGTAAATTGATAAAAAAAGACATCTTAAAAAATTAATTAGTTTTGCTGAACATGGTTTTTTTTAATCAGCTTTTATCAACTAGTTTGTCAAACATAGCCTATAACTTGATGTAGGGATAGAAAATTAATTATTTTAATCAAGATCACCAATAAAATTGAATTATTATTATTTTATGTGATTTTTTTAAAAACTTATTTGGGATAATAAAAATAGAGAACATTATAATAATATATTTATACCTGAAATCTCTAAAAACATAATTTATCGGAGTTCAATGTATTTATTTTAGATATTTTTAACTTATTATTTTTTATTTTAAAAAAATTATAGAGAAACTGTTGAAGATGCTCTTATAAAACTGTATTTAATTTAATATTATTTTTATATTGAAATTGGTGAAACTTCAATATTGGATTTTAGAGAATTATCTAAATTTGAGTTTTCTCTATATTTTAAAAAACAAAATAGAGATGTTGTTGAATCAAGATCAATAATAAAGAGCTCTTATAAAAATAGAGATTTTATAAATTTATTTATTGTAGCATTCTACTTTCAGTTTTTCTTATTACAATAATGTACTTTCAAAATATTTTTTATTAAGATATCTTACTTTCAAAAATTTATCCGTTATAACATTGAGTAATATTTTAAATTATATTTATTCATTATATCAGGTTTATTTGCTACCTCATCGTCCATGTAGACTGTTCACATATACAATAGTGCTGACATGACATTTCTTATTATAACATTGTACTTTCAAATTTACTTCATTATAACACACCAATTTCTATTACAACATTGTACTTTTAATTTGAATATTTTTTTATCATTTAAACATTATAAATTTAATCAAATATGTTTACTAAAAATTATAATAAATATTATTTGAGATTATAATATCGTTTTTTTTTATTTTGTTCTTTTGACATATTATAGAAGGCAAAAGACATAAAATTTAATATATCTGCAATAATATATCAAATAATACATTAAATTTAATCTTTTTTTTACCATTATGTAAGTTCTTTTGTTAAATTAAAACAACATATTTCTAAATAAAAAACACTCTTTCTTAAAACTCTGCAAACAAATCAAAATAGCTAACAGATACAAACATCACCGATACAACTTAATATTATAATTTCTAGTAAACACATTTGATTAAATTTACAATGTTTAAATGATAAAAATATTAAAATCAAAAGTATAACACTGTAATAGAATTTAATGAGTTATAATAAAGTAAATTTGAAAGTACAATGTTATAATAAGAATTATCATGTCAGCACTATCGTACAAATGGACAGCTTACAAAGAAACTTGATATAATTGAGTAAATTTAATTTAAAATGTTACTCAATATTATAACGGATGAATTTTTGAAAATACAATGTCTTAATAAAAAATATTTTAAAAATACATTATTATAATAAAAAAATTAAAATTAAAAAATTATGATAAATTTTTTTATAAAAATAGGTTGTTATTTTACACGTTTTGTCTAAAATTATATTACAGTAAATAGATATCGTAATATTTATTGAAAATGGTGAAACTGCATTTAATATTTTTATCAAGAGTTGGAAATTTGGGACGGAGGAGGATATTTTTAATCAGACATCGGTGGCCGCCATTCTTAGAAACAACTTTCCGATCAATCCAACACGACTTTATCTTTCTTACTCCAAAATTCTCTCACTCATCTTTGTTGTCAATGGATTCATCGTCACCGTCACCGTCACCATCGCCGGTAAATTGGGAAGCCCTAGATGCTCTGGTCATCGAATTCGCCAAATCCGAGAACTTAATCGAAGATTCGTCTCCTCCTGCTTCGCCTTCGCCTTCTTCATCTTCTTGTTCCTCTTCCTCTTCCTCTTATCACCATCGTCTGCTGATTCTCCAAGTCAGAAGATTATTGCAATTCGGTGACATCGATTCCGCCATTGATCTATTACGTCTCCACGCTCCTTCCGTTCTCGATGATCAACGCCTCCTTTTCCGTCTACAGAAGCAGGTAAACGATTTGTAATTTCGTTTTGGATAACAACAAATTTATTTGGTGACTTGCTAAGAGTTTGCTTATGTTTGATGGAATGAAGAAATTTATCGAGCTTTTGAGGAAAGGAACTGAAAAGGATCGTAATTCTGCGATTAATTGCCTGCGGACGGCACTCGCTCCTACCGCTCTCGACGCCTATCCTGTATGTTTCTATATTTCGTTATTGTTTGCTGCAAAAATCTGATGATCCTGATTGTTGCTGTTGTTCATTTTGCGTCGTGGGACAGTTTCAAGTCAAACTCCGCTTTGTAGTATATTTGTAAGTAGTATATATATTTTAGAGCAGATTAAAACGATTGTAGAGAAGAAAACGAGTTTAAAATGCAAACTAATTGATCTGAGAATCCAAAGAGGAACACTGGATTCCATTCTGTATGCTACCTTAAGAAGAAGCAGCACATCAGATTCTATCCTTATGCCCCGTCAAATTTTCATTTTGCACTACTATAAAACATGGTTAAATATTCTTGAACTGCATGAAGTGGAATGGAGCTTTAGTCATTGGGATGGAATGAATAAATTTGAGCTTGAAACTTCAAAATTCTATGTTAACTGAGGTCTTTGGGGTTGAGAATGAATGGAACTGGAATCCTTGTAAATTTTGTTTTGCAATCCTGGTTCTTGACGGAAACAACCTCTCTACTCTAAGATATGTGTACATCCTACCCCCTGACCCTACTTATATACTGGGCTTGTTTGGTTTGGTTAATGACTAATGAGTGAAACTGGAAGAACCTTTTCTGGAGTGAGGTTCTGCACATGATTCAGCCAAGTCTATGGACGCGTTAAGCTAAGCTGCATTCAGTTTTGGGACCCATGGATCTCTTTTGATAATGGAGACCTGTAAACGCAAGAGAATCATAGCATAAAAAACCTTGGAGCCATATGTAGCCAACAAAAAAAGTGTGTAATTGAATGCACAAACTACTAACGAGCAATATGGTCATCACTAAAGTCTTTGCTGATTGGATCCTACAGCCATATGTTCCTTTAAGAAAGCATAAAACAGAAGTACAGAAGATAGGCAGAATTTGTATTGTAAAAGCAAAATGAACATCAGGAATTTGGGATTATCTTGATTTTATTGACTGGACTGGTCACTCTTTTTTAAAGTATATAATGCTTATGTCACGGCAAGTGCAAATCACACACACATGACACGTCTGACCATTGATGAGGTTGGAATCCTTGACCGCTAGAGCCTAGAAAGGTTGGGTTACTGGACAACGCTGGGCCAAAGGCCCTTTGGTAAACGAACTGGTCACTTGATCATGTATTTTTGTTTATATTTATATGCTCCTCATTTTGGTTGTGACATAACTCTGTTATTGATTCTAAGGAAGCATATGAAGAATTCAAGCATGTATTGCTTGCCTTTATATACGATAAAGATGATCAAACGTCTCCTGTGGTGAATGAGGTAGGAATTCTCTCTCAGTTAGTTACTATAAGCTGTATCTTGTAGAGTGATATGGTGTCCTTGGAATAGCAATTGATGGCAGTGTTCACACTGTTGTAGAGAAAGTTTTGCATCTTTTCTATTCAAGTGAAGTAACCTTGTTATCTTCAACTCTAAAGAAATTGCCTTCTTTAATTATGTATGTATGTGCATTCATCATTATACTATTCTTAAATCATAGTGGATTAGTGGGTGAAAAAATATTTTTGATGATTGCTGCAGTGGTCCGAGAGGAGGCTGTTCGAGCTTGCTGGATTAATGACTTCTGTACTGAGAGCTCACTTACATGCATATGATCCCCTTTTCTCAATGACACTTAGATACCTAATCAGGTCTCATCTTATCTATCTCTTAGGATTCTTATCAGCAATTCTCTATCTTTCTCTCAATCTCTCTCTCTCTCTCTATATATATATATATATATATATATGTGTGTGTGTGTGTCTCTCTCTAGTGGCCATGATTGATGTCCTATCAATCTTGCAGCATACACAAGGGATTTTGCTTTCGCCAAGGGATTTCTTCACCGATATCGGATCTTACTGAGAGGTTGCTGCTTGAGGAGCGTGATCTCCCTGCCGCTCCACAAGAGGGTTTGTTTGAAGCACCTCCATTTGATGAGGTACCGTTTTATTTTTGTTTGTTTGGGTTTTGGCAGACTAATGCTGTGTTCTTGAACCTGGGGAGAAAAGAAAAGAAATGGAAGGAAAAGGGAAGGGAAAGTTTTTTTTCATCTGTGTTCTCGAGAGAAGAAAATGAAGCAAATGAAAAGAAAGAAAATAATTTTCATGTTCTTGAACATGAGAGAAAGGAAAGGAAAGGAAATATGTCATTTTTACAAATATATCTTTAAAATGAAAAGCCGGGCAGTTTTATAATTTTAATAATCTTTTTAAGGGGTTTTAATTTCTTTCCTTCCTTTCCTCCCACATCTGGAGGAAAGTTTTGGGAGGAAATTTATCATTATTTTCCTTCCCTTCCCTTTCCTTTCTCTCTCAATTTTTCTCAAGAACACAAGTTTTTTTACTCCCCCCCCTCATTTCCTTTCCTTCATAATGAAGATTTTGAGAACACAGCATAACCTTACTAACATGATGGGTTAAAGCATGGACTTTGAATGTGTAATGGTCATTATTGTGCAACCTATGAAGCTTGTATTTATTTATCTGTTTGGGTTTATATATCTGAGATCAGGTGGACATACAAGCCCTTGCACATGCTGTTGAGCTTACAAGACAAGGGGCAGTTGATAGCTTGAAATTTGCAAAGGGTGATCTATTTCAAGCATTCCAGGTAATCTTACATTATAATGATACACTTGGCCTTAAATCTGACTATTAAGGACCTGTTACTTAATATTTCTTGCTTAGCGAGAAGATATCCAGATATTCAGCTAGTAAATCATTGTATTAGTATGAAATTTGTGTGATAATCGTTTTAATGCTACCATTTTTTAATCCATATTTACATTAAGTGCTAGGTTAGGGTGGACAGTAGCACTCAAACTTGCAGTCAGTCTTCTTTAGCTATGTACATCATCAATTAGAACTTCTGCCCTTTCTATGAAGTGACATGTTTGAAGCAGTGTATGACCTCTTTTTGCTGATTTTTCTTTATTCCAGAATGCTCATAATTCTATTTTTTTTTTGCTTGATTCATGACTTCAACTGCTACGAGTAATATATATCCTTTACATATGCCAAAAAGTTATACTCTGTGAAGTAGGTGAACTTTCTTCTAATCGAGTTCTGGATACTCAATTGTTTGGTATACGTATGTCATATATATGCCATTAAGCAAGTATTAGGGTAGATAATGCATTTGGGGTATGGATTTTATAGGTTTCTGCAAGCAGTTCGTTTTATGCACGTGTCCTTTTTCAATTTCTCATGCTTCAGCTGATACTTTGTTAGATGACGAAAATTGTTTTGGATTTGGACTTCCTAGATTTGATCTGTAGACTGTAATCACGTCAGACTCCATGGATAATCCCATCCAGTTATTTAGATTAGGTTTTTATAAAAAACACGAACATATATTTTTGGAAGCATTACTTCCTAATATAAAATAAAAGATTGCGAAATCAGGAATTGACTTGATAATATGGACCTCTTCCACTCACGGTTTTGTGAAGGACATAGGTGTTTAGGGAGGTTTCTTTTCTAACGTTATCTATTACAGAATGAAGTGTGCCGAATGAGATTGGACGTCACTATGCTCGATGAACTCATTCATGAGTATTGTGTCTATAGGGGCATCGTCGATGCTGGTCCCTCGAATCCTTCTTGTGAGTAACTGGGATTCACATTATAAACTTTTTGTTCAGTTTTCTTTATTTATTTGTTATCCTATTCTTGACTTTGGATTCGTCATTGCTTCAGCCCGAGGAATGCAGCTAGTACCTGAACCATCGGAGTCAAACCAAACAGAATCAGAATCTACTTTATCTGCAGACTTTTCACTCGAAGTCCGGAGTGGATCCAGTAAGCTTGCTGATACTGACATGGATTCACCTGGAACTGGTGCTGTCAGTGTTCAGAACCCTGATGCTGAGGAGCGATACCCTTGTGGCACAATGAGTAGCTATGATGACTGTAGTACGAGCGGAATTTACCGACATAAAGCTTCTAAAATCATGCAAAGAAATAAGAGTCGAGGAAATACGGAGAGGAACAAACGTAAGAGGTGGAGGGGAAGACACGAAGTACAGGATTCTTTTCCTAATGTACTCAACCGAGGCTGCAAGCAAGAGCTTAAAGCTATTACACTAGTTGATGCTAATATGTCAGAAGAGCAGCAGGTACGACCACAATGCTATGATATGGGGACTCGGTGGTGGATCCAGAAATTCCGACCACTGGGGGCACATCACGCACATTTAATCAACATAATATAAAATTAAATATAAAAAGTATAAAAGATAATTTTTGAGCTCGGATGGGACTTGAGGGAGAGGTCAGGGGAGTAGGCGGTGTCATGGGGAAGGGCAGAGGCACAAGAGTAGGAATTGGAAAAAGGAAATTTTTTATTTTTACAACAATTTTACTGGGGGCACCTCACCCATTAGTTTTATATGTATGTCAGCCACTGATTCTGGTGTTGGAATTTTGCTTGCTTTTGTGCTGCAGGTTTCTGAAATATCATCCGCAGTAGATGCTAGTGGCAATAAAGAGGACAGATATGAGATTATGCTGGCAATAAAGGAGTTGGCAAGCAAAGGAATGGCTGCAGAGGTTGTAGAAGAAATAAATGATATGCACTCAAATTTTTTCACACAAAATCATGTTCTTCTCTTCCAGCTAAAAAGGGTAAGTGATATATTTATTTAGTTAATTCCATCATGACAACGGAAAAGAATTTTTTAAAATATCTCAAGTGGATTTGTACGTTACTGAAATGGGATTATAAGCAACCTGCGTTGCTTGGTTTTTACTGAGGGTGTGTTTGGTAGACGGGACCGGGTGTGACATGAAAGAACAAAAACTTGTCTCATGTTTGGTGCGACATTTAGACTTGGACATGACATGACTTTGTCCCACCAAAATAGGTGGACCAAAAATTAGGGAGATGGGACAGTTGGTAGATTACTAAACTATCCATGTCGATCAAAACCCTAAAACCTTGCACAATTCTTTCACCCGCTTACCTCAGTCTTGCCCGTCCAGTTTCTTTTGCATACTAAACGCACCCTGAAGGACGAAGATAGTAAGGAGAATGGTGTTTCCACATTGTGGATCTATCAATGCCACACTCTGATCCTTGATACTTTCTCTGGCTCCAGATTGAATTTTTGAAGTTGGTGAAATCCGGTGACCATTCTCGTGCATTGAAAGTGGCTTGTTCCCATTTGGGACCTTTAGCGACAAGAGATCCAACTCTCCTCAAGCCGTTAAAGGAGACCTTGTTGGCCTTTCTTACACCTAATGAGACGTTTGTTGGAGAAAGCTTGCCCTTCCATGCTCTGGCGACTTCACTCCAGGTCATTTACTTTCTTATTTTATTAATATGCTTATATTTTGACCATCAGAAGGAGGTGCTTTTGTTATTGCTTTCTCTTCTGCAAATATTGGAACTTGGATGCAACTTGTCCCTATTTCTAAAGCTGGCGAATGCTGCTCAAAATTCAGTATGCTTAATATCAAATATAATTTTTTGGAGAACCGAGTTTATGTTCTTGTCCCTTGCTTTCTTTAAAGGAGTAGTAATCTTTAAATTCTTAATTCTTGAAACCAACTTCTGAAACAGAAGTGGCTTATCTAGGCAACTCTTCCTTAACTGCCGTTGCCTTAAGCAACTAATAGTTAGCCCAGCCATGGGCTTAGGCTAACTCTTAAAAGAGACTTGGTGGAGTGTTTGAAGATCACGACTTTGATGCTGCCTATGCTTACCATTCGAACGGTTTAAAGTTTGTAAACAAACCTAAGCAGATGGAGATCATTTAGACCATTGATCTTAACAATGATCATTTAGAGACCCTTGTACCTTATGTCCGGTGCCAGGATTTTTCAACATCAGACCATTGATCTTAACAAATGTTTAAAGCACTGTTTTCGAGTATCTAAAAGTTGCTATCTAATCCTGTGTTCCCCCTCCCCCTTCCCCCCAAAAGTAACCAAAACAAAAATTGGTTTCTTCTCCACCGTTCTCCTAGTAATGCCATATTAGAACACAAACACGTCTCAACCCTGATCCTTGGCTCTAGATGACCAGTCCTCTTAGAGTAATGGACCAATAGTTGTGGAGAAGTTCATTACGAGCTTCATTTTCACATCATTAACCATTAGTACCCTGTCTGCTGGAAGCCACATGTATAATTATCTTTATAATGCATTTACATGTAATCGAGCCATTGACATGAATCATTTCTTGAAATCAGTTGCCATAAGTTGTTTCAGATCATTATAATGTATTCTATTATATTGTAGATGCACTATTAACTGATGTAAGAAGTTGCTAAATTCATTTTGCTGTCATAAAATTTATCGTTGATTATATTCCTCTTGATGAATAAGTTCTATTGTAGTAATCTTCATCCATACAGTGATGGTTGGTATCTGATCAGTGAAGAGACTGTATGGATAAGTTTCATCGAGTTTCTGACAATTAGGGTGTGCTTGGTATATGGGACTGAACAGTACATGAAATTGTTGTCCGACATTTGGCACAGGGCGCTAGACCGGGATAGGACAAGACCTGAGTGGGTCCCACAATCAGAGGCAGACCCATAATTGTTTTCAAACAGAGGCACAAAATGATTGACATTATACAAAATAAAATAATGTTAATTGTAAAAACTAAGGTTTCATTAAAAAATGATATATAGGGGTTTTTTTGCATGTGTTCTTTTTGTTGCTAATACCAAATTTTTTTTTAAAAAGAGCCAAAGGGATTTGAAATTGCAACCTATAATACCACTGTAATGACAATTGCAGGAGGCAGCAAGTCTGAGTCCGCAACCACTTCTGTTAACTTAAGGGAGAACACATTAATTTAAAGCAGGTGTACCTTTAAGGCCCCTAATTTTTTTTCTATTGCTAGGCTTGAGCGGTAGCCCTTGCACATGGGGCCTTGTATGTGTGTCTGCCCCTGCCACCAATATGGATGGAACAAATACTGAGAGATCGGACAAGTTTGGTAAATTACTAAACTGTCTATGTCAAATCAAAACTCTAAAACCTTCCACAATTCTTTCACCTGCCTACCGCACTCTTGCTAGTCCAGTCCCATCTGCATACCAAACGTACCCTTAAAGTCGATAACATGTACAAGACGATTCACATTTTTTTCTGCTTTTGATTTGTTTTGTCATATGAATGGAAGATTCTCTACTGTCAAAATAGGTTGCAATAGGTAGGAGGCTTGGCATCGAAGAACCCCAGCTAATGAAGATAATGAGAACTACCCTTCACACACATAACGAATGGTTTAAGCTTCAAATGTGTAAAGATCGGTTTGAGGGTCTGCTAAAGATCGATCGTTTGAAAGAAGTCGATTCTTCTCTGCTAGCCGATGCCCTTTCCAAATCGAGTGCTGATGTTTGCAATCACAGTTCTTCTCAAGGCACTGCAACTTCAAGCAGCAGAATGCAGGAAGATGGCAGTCCTGCTCAAGTTTCGTCCACCGGAGATGTTGCATCTGATGAAACCGCAATACTCAAGGTTATGGTGAGTCCTGACCATTTATCACATTTTGCACAATGTTTTCAACTTACATGGGCTGCCCTTGTTAGAAAATTGGGTATAGTGATGAACCGTACCGTATTTCAGCGTGTGGGTATCATGAAATTTACTCGGGGGTAATTCAAATATGCACTCAGGATTTTAAGGCAAAACTGAGAGCAAAAACACACAGATGCCGTTGTTTTTTCTGTATAATAAAATGAGATCGAAAACTCTCTAAATATGTGGTTGTAAGTCGGTTAGTTTGGGGTGGTTAGGTAGTTATTAGTGGACGGGAACTGTTATCAAATAACTACCAATGGATAGTATCAATAAATGGTTACTGCACTGAAGTTCGAAAGGCGACTTGCCTTTTTGAATTCAAATCCGCTTTCTGAAGTGAAGTTAAGAAGGCTACAACCTTTTGAATCCAGGACTTGTCTTTTCAGGGCCGGTTTACCAAAAGCTTACCAGGTAAGTGCTTACCAGCAAGAGTCACTACCTCCCTCGGTTATCTTCTCGGGTAACATTCTCGGCTATCAAAATGGATTGTCGGTAAATGTCTCTTGCCCGGTAAGCGCTAACTGGGTTAGAGTCTTCCCTCTCATTTACCGGGTTAGATTCATGGTTCTTGGTATGCCTTTTACCAAGTAAGATTCTCGGTCATTGCTAAGATCACCTGGTAACGTAAGTGATACTTGGTAAGCGCTTACTCGGTAAGTGTTTGGTAAATGGCCCCTAAAATTAGTTTTTGAATAACCGCGAAGGGGCTATGCCCCTTTGACCCCTGTTTTATGGCGATCTTAGGTCCACCAAAATGTTTAATGAAACTAAAATCAGCATTATTGCCTCATTAATAATTGGAAAATAATGCTCCAACAACTGTTCTACTCTTTGGGGGTCTTGGAGATATACTGGATTTGCTTGATTTAAAAATAAATACTTGGTTAAAATTATTTGATATAATTATTTATGATTTCGGATGCAGGAATTCCTTGCTTTGCCTAGGGCTGATGCTATACATCTGCTAGCGCAATACAACGGAAACGCGGAGACCGTAATTCAACAGATATTTGCGTAGGACTCGTGTAGACATGTACATTATTATCATTATACATTGTTGATCGGAATGTTATATCCGCGTACATTATTATTTCATTCATTTGTGCCATACAACATGTAATATTAGTACACTTGTGGATGTGGTGTTGTAGAAAACATATATACACTTGGTTCATATGGTGTATGAAGCAGCAGGGGCGGACCCATTATGGTGCATATATGGTAGCATGGGTCACCGGTTTTTGAATTCACTCTTAAACTAGAGGAAGCTTCTAGAAGGGAAGCAATTGGATTGTTGTTCCTGGTTCGGAATATTTAGAGCTGTGAAAGGTGTTACCTTATTATTTAGTTGGATGCAATATTATTTTTTTTGAAACTATAATAATAACACAAGTTTCTCTTGGTAGAGTTGGTTTGTACTCTCTTTTCTAAACGTGGGTTTGAATCCCGTTAGTATTTTTGTCTTTTAGTTTTTAGCTCTTATTTTTCAAGTTTATTATGTTTCTGAAAAAAATTGGGATAAAAGATTTGAACACATGGCCTGACGTATAAGCAAATAAGAGATAGAATGATGGTTTAGTAAAAACCATTCATAGTTTTTTATAGTCAAATGGCACAACCATTTGTAATGATAAGGTGTTATGTCTCATCCCATCCTATACGGTCTACGTACTAAATGCACTTAATTGATTATCTCTCACACGGTTTTGCTTGATTTAACCATTCAAAATGTTGATTTCGTGTTTATATTATTACAAATCAAACGAGAACGCAGTCAATTTATGAGAAGACAAGAAGTTTTAAGATTGTATGATACAAAACCACGCAATGATTTCGTGGTTATAGAGCGGAAGACCTTTCCCATGATCTTTAGTCGTGTTGACAAGTCGTTTGTGTCCATTTGAACATGTATCACATATGATCTTAAAACTTTTTGACTTCTCGTAAATTGATTGTCTTCTCATTTGACATGATATTATATGTAGTTTCCAAATTTGGTTAAATGTTTATAGCATTTTAGGTAATTTTAATATTCTATGAATAGACTTGCAATTTGTTCTTTTTAATATGAAGCATTTTCAGCAACCTATATATTAACTGCTAACATTACATATTAGTAGCAAAATATAAAAATTCAGATGTATTTCTGATAAATTCTTCAAAATAAAAAATTAAAATATTTAACAAAAATTACATTCATCTCCAACAATTTCTCCATTTTAGAGATTACAATTTTAATTATATCATTAGAATATTCAATACAATTCATAAAATCTTGTTTTTCTCTTCTAAAACATTTCATTTCAAGTTGATAGAAAGAATAATAAATCATTTTTTTTCCCAAAACAATTATTTTTAGAGAATTATCCAAATTTAAGGGCGTTTCATCACTTTATCTCCTACATTCTCTAATTTTAATACAGTTTTAAGATAATATGTTGGAACATAAATTCCAAAATCTCCATTTAAAAAAAAAAAATCTGTTGGAAATGCTATGAATCATCAATTTCATCTTACAAACCTTTCATTTAGTTGTATAAGAATATCTCTAGTAGATTCTCCAAAATGGAGAAGTAAAAAGTCAAAATCTCCAACAGATTTTCTATTATTAAAATAACTCATAAAATATTATTTTTCTCTCAAACATTTAATTTTAGCAAACGGCCCCTAAAAAGCACCAAACTTGTTACTTCATTCATACGTGTTATAAACTTTGTATCAAGAACACATCTCCTTTTGCACTACATTTGCAGTAACAGTTTATATCAAACTACTTTTGACATGTTCAAAAGACCGTTTCAAACAATTAACCAAATCGATACCTAGGAAAGGGTTGCTCATAGTTGTAACCCATTGGCCGATATAAGACATGATTACGTAGAAGAGGTTCTCCGTTGTAATAATGACCGTGGTAACCAGGAAACCCGAGAGGCGGCAGATTAGAAATTGGGTGATTCGGAATTGATGATGATGATGCTTGTTGTAGGTGATGGTGATGATGATCAGAATATACACAACGGTTCGGGTCTGCACCAAAGGTTGTTTGTGATGTTTTCGATTCCCTTTTTTGAAACCGTACAGCATTCCTCTCATTTACCCGTTTCTGGCCAGATTCGTATTTATCTGTTCGAGTTGATGGTCTTCTATCGGATACCTTTTGACGCTTTCTACCTACCGATAATTTTTTTTTGAAAAGAAAAATATATAAAATAAAAATATAACTAGTTATTGAACTTGACCTTTTCTATTACAAACAAATCATCCTTCTTGAAAAATGCAAACTAACCCACCCAAAACATAGGGCCCTATCACCAAAATGCAGCACTTTATGTATCAATATCTCTATACATAAACCACACTAACCCAATATATCCTACCATGGGTGGGGTCTGAGAGAGGGTAGGGTATAGGCAGACCCACCAATGGCGCATACAATGGCAAGGGCCACCACTTCGTTTATCTTTAGTAGTGTGAAAATTTTTAGGGCCGTGAAAGGTATCATCGTATTATTTTGTTGGTGCAACCATATATTCCTTGGAACTACAGTAATGACACAAGTATGTCTTGGTCGAGTTGGTTTGCACGGTCTTTTCTTCCCTTCTAGGCACGGGTTCAAATCTCATTTGTATCATTTTCTTAGTTTTTAGTTTTTAATTTAAGATTTATTATATTTGAGATGAAGGACTTGAAGACAGGATTTCACAATAAAAAGCAAGAAATAGCCGACAGACCAATATATCCCACCCAGGGGTGGGGTCTGGGGGAGGGTAGGAATTATGCTCTCACCTGCCAAACGAGTAGGGTGGCTTAAGACCTCCTTATGTATCTATACATGTATGTATTAATATATTTGTTTGGAGAGTGTGTAGAGAGATGGGAAAATATCAATCATACCTTCCTCGTTTTCGAAAGCAATCTGTGTCTTCTTCAGTTTTCGTTTATGTCTTGCTGCTTCCCCTCGCTTATGTTTCTCTCCAAGCACTTTCGATCTTGCTGCTTCACTCTTCCAAGGCTAAACCAGCAAACAAAATAAAGGATATAGAGGATGTGAAAAGACCATATAAGACTAAAGCATCACTGTCACCATAATCAGTGACTTACTTGTCTCAATGTCCGAAACCTGTATAGATTGCGACCTTTCACTAACAAAGGCGTAAGCGGAGGGAGTTTTTTGGGCCCTTTGCTCCACAAGACTTCAATCTAGAAAATGAAGAAAAACCAATTAAGTTACAAGACTTCAAGCTCAAATACGCAAATTGTGAATTCCTATTTACACCATTATCATTCCAGGGTACTTCTGTCATTTTCTTAGTGTAACCGTCCTGTTGTTTGTTATAGACGGTTTAGCATTTGTTTGCTTAGCCTTGTTAGCCTCATATATATATAGAACATTCATGAACTATTCATTGATGGGTGATATAAATCATTCATGATGAGTGATATAGATCATTCATGATCCATGATACATCATTCATGATGAGTGATAAAGATCATTCATGATCCATGATACATCATTCATGATAATAACCCGTGAATGTATGGGATAGATGGCTCGCACTCCTTTGTCCCTTAAAACTGGTTTGCAACCGAACCCGCCCTCATATATATACACAAGCAAACGCTAAACTGCCTATAACAAACAATGGCTATGGCTAAACAAACAAATGTTAAACCGCCTATAACAAACAACGGCTACGGTTACACTAAGAAAAAGACAGAAGTGCCCCTGGAACTACAATGGTGTAACATTTCCCACTATCTTTATTTTCCTAACCGTGAATGTATGTTGTTGTTTCGATGCACCATAACTTTCTTTAACTATCTTCCCAGCGACAGTTCTTTTCCCCACTACATCTCCTCGCCTTGATGCTTTATCAAACCTATATGTTATATGTACAATTCTTAATTAAAATCCATTTAAAAGGTAAGAAAACATCAGGCTTCTTACTTATTGTATACTTTTTGTGTGAACAAGACAACATCTCCTTTGCATGCATCGCCTGCATTTGAAGAAATATTTTGCTTCAATGAGCAAATTTCTGAAAGAAAATAAAGAAAAAAGAAAAAAGAACTACCAGTGCAGTTGATCGAAAATGATGATCTGGGATAAAGTGATTCACACCTTCCCTCTTTTAACCTGTAATTTAATGAGATAAAGAAAAGGTTCATGCAATGTTCCCAATACCATGTCTGATAGTTTATAGAAAGAATAGTTTTTGAACGTTTAAGCAATTGCATTGCTTGTTCAATTTATTTGGTCCAGGCGGTAAACTACACATTTAAGCAATTGCATATGCTTCTACATTACTCGAATTGGATCCTAAATTGATGGGTTAGTGTGAGCTTATCCATGCGGTTATGCACTTTTTGAATAGGAATTCATTTTCTGAAAGATCCTGGCTTTCGTGCTTTGGTGGGTCTTCAAGATCCTTTCGATGACCTATACTGTGCTGAAGGGATATCTATATCGAATCCACTAAATTGATCACAAACTAAATCAGGGTACTTGATCTTGTTAAAGACAAATAAAATGGTTGCTACATCATCAACGGTAGAAACAAACAACACTCTGCTCTTTGAAATTTTGGGTAGTTGACTCCATAAACCATATCTCACAAATCTCCCTCTTCCCCTTTCGACAATTTTGACAAGACAATGGGGTTTATGAATCAAATTGGCCAATCGTAAGTCAAGGATGAAAGCCAAGTAAAAGTGAAAAAGGGTATAAAGCAAAAGATAAACAAGGCTGTGGTAGTTGATCTAGTGTTGGCCTGTTATGCAAAGTAACTAAATTGTCCCTTAACAGCATTTCGTTTTCCACATAATCCAAACGTAAAAATTAGTTTTAATCCAGAGTTTTCTAATGTCAACCTTTTCATTGAAGGAACAAATCATCCCAGAGAGAGTACAAATAAAATGGGATTTTAACCACATATGAATTAGGTGATAAAAAATGAGCAGCAACAAACAGTCAACCAAGCTATGGTGTATTCACTTAGAAAGCACAACACTTACAAGAAATAAGTCTCAGTTTTAGAGATTATATTTCTCTAAGAACCAGAAAAGGCCTTTAAGAGCTTATGTATGTTAAGCATCTGTAGTGTGTAAAGAAACCAAGTATCTACATCCTACAATCTCCTCTCTATCACTATTTGTTAAAAGTAACTACAAGTTGTGGCATCATGGAGTATGCAAGTAAATAATAGTCCGATTGAATGATGTATCCTCAGAAAATATGAAAGCTTAAGTCCCAAAAGCATAAGGTCCTCCGCACGATGCTATAGCCTTGACTTGTTGAATCCCTCCATTGTGTACAAATACTTCTTATCAAGTTTTTTATCAGTGAGTGGTATCCCTTGTTTCAAACAAGTAGGAAATTATATATAAAGTTCTTCTGTCAAGACTGACCAATATGGTATGCCCCACTTCGTAAGACTGTGAAATTGAAGCCTCTAGGATGTTTCATAGCCTATGTTACAGGGTCTCATTAACTTTATTATATTTGATCACCAATTTCCAATTTATCTACTGCTAATATACTCCATAGAAAGACAAATAAATTTTATTAATCAAGAGTAAATCATACGATAAGTTTGTAGTATCACATATTTAAAAATGTCAATCTTTTTAGGGACAGAACAAAAAAGTGGCCAATCTGTTCCAGCACATTAGCTGGTAATATGTTACATTACCATATGGGCTCTAGCACTTTCACATTGGACTTGATGTTAAATTTTTCATCAAGGGAAAATATATAGGATGACATTCCAGTATCATACATTTAAAGATGCGACTCATTTTACGAACAAAACAAAGAAGTGGCAATCTCTTTCAGAATATCAGCTAGTAATCACAAGAATTAATAGAATTTGACACGTAGGACCACATATAAGTGCAGGTATTTTATGATTCCAATAGATAACTAACCTCCCATGCTCTTTGATTCGCTGTATGCACTCCTCCTTGGTCCCAGATAACCTCAATCCGTGTTTCCGCAAGTATGCTTTACACTCATCAAGACTTGGTTCCTTTACATCATTACTTCCTGAAAAGCTAAAATGGCATCAACCAACGAGCTTGTGCCCTTGAGAATGTACTTCTAATATATTTCTTCTATTTTTTTTTCCATATTTCTTTCTCCTTTTTGGGCGCATGGTTGTTGGGCAGGATTTAAGCTCAAACCACCAAGCAAAAACAAAGCAAGAGGGAAACAGTGGAAAGGATTTAACAATGGTAACGGTACTCTATAATTATGATTATTGCATTTATAGGAGGAACACTTTTAACTCTGTGATATCTTCACATGAATGTGAGAGGCCAAACCAGCAGATCAGACCTAGGTCTTGTCAGTAACAAAATGCCCATCACCCATAACCTATTTGATGCTTCTCTGGTTGAATCAACTAATACGATTAACATACACCAGTTTGCATATCATCAAAGTGTTCTGTTTTAACAAAATTGTCATATGACTGATGTGTCCAAGTCCATATAGATTACAAGGCATACTCTTCACACTTAGAGCAACTCCAATCGTACACCAAAATAGCGTTTTTGCTGATCTTTAAACTCCAATCGTCCAGCAAAGAGAACTTCATTTTGCTGGAGTGGGAGAGACACAGGAAATATGCCGGCCTCATGTTCAAACGGCATAAATGCTGTGTGCTTGGAGATGAGGCGATTTTTGGTGTCCATGGCCCCACCAATTTGCAGTTCATTTTTTGGTGCTAGGGTGTGGAGTTGCTCTTAGCATTGCTATTATGCAAGTTTGGTAGTAATTCTTCAAAGTTGGGATCAAAATTCTACCAACATCGTGGTTGAATTGAATTATTTCTACATGTAGATTGACCTTATTATAAGTCTCATATGATCAGATACATTACTAACTAATTGCAAAGAATGTCAGTGGACAACATGCAATTAATTCAAGCGTTTAACAATTTAGGTTAAAACAAACTGAGTGCCAGAGACAAAAATCCATCTGTTACAAATAATCCTTGGAAACATTTCAAACAATTTGAATTTTTTTACGTAGTTTCCATATACAATGCTAAAGACAAACAATTTGAATATTGTAAACTTATAGAGCAACCTGTTTAGTGTTTACCACCTTAATCAAAGTGTAACACTTATGATGGAACGGAGGGAATAATTCGCACTATAATTTAACCATCAGCCGATGATATTTTTTGCTATTAGTTAGTAATGTGCTGGAAAAATTCAGCCATGGCGTTTGTAGAATTTTCATCCCGATTTTGAAAAATTACTAATAAACTGAAGCAGCGGTATATATATGTATATATATATATACACACACACACATTTAACCAATAGAGGATCCTAACCTTGATGAAAAGAAACGACTCTATTGGAGATCTCGTCACGATTATCAAAACAATCTTCCTCATCCGACTTAGAATCATTTTCTTCCTCCACGTCATAATCCTGATCATCGGATTCGCTATCATCACCGTCGTCTGTCGGTGAGAAGTCCGATTCAAGTTCTTCTTCATCATCAAAGTTCCCTTCATCATCGTCGTCATCGTCGTCGGAAGAGGAGGAGATATAAATGACGGGAGGTTTCATAACTGGCGTCGACAATCCAATCGAAATGCACAAATTTAGGGGGATTTGGACGAGCTGCTGGTTGTAATGGATGCGCGTGTATGCCACGCATATATATATATATATATATATATAGTTGCGTTATGGGCCTGTTGGACCGTATAACATATTAATGGATTGCCATTTTACTATTTCGGCTTTTGGAAGTCAGAAACGGGTTCAAATGTTCAAGTACGGAGCCGTTTACCAAACACTTATTTGATAAGTGTTTACCTATAAAATTTAACAAAATTATTTACTTATTGGGTAAAATTTTAGTCCACCAAAACGACATTGTATACAAGAATTTACCCTGTAAGCGCTTACCATGGTAAGAGTCATTGCCCTCACTTACTCGGGTAAGACGCAAGGTCCTTATCTCGTTCTTACCGGGTAAGATTTTTTATTCTTACAATATTCATCCAGTGAGATAGCGTGACTTGGTAAGCGCTTACCCGGATAAATGTTTGGTAAACGGCCCCTAAGATGGTTAAATTCATGAAATTATTTTTTTTAAATTTTTTAATATAATATTACATATTTATTTTTTATTACTAAAAGGTTACTCGCGCGATGCCGTAAGATACAACTTCATTTTAACGTTTCGTTTCATTTTTCATCTCAAACTGCAAGTCGCATCGCATATATGGTTTGACCGTTTTCTCAAACTGCAAACCGCAACACATAAACCTTAAACCGCACCAATTGCACCGCATTTTCGGTTTTTACCTATCGCACTTTATGTCTACAATCCAATAATTATAAGTTTATATATACATAAAAAAAATCAACTATAACTTGACCATAGTCTACAAAAAGTACATATTTTTAATACATCTGATTCCGTAATACATATTGCACAATTAAAAATAGTTTAAAAAGTAAAAAAAGAAAATAAATTTTAAATTGGACGTGTCCAACTAATTTACTAATATTGTCAATTGTCATATTGGATCAAACTAAATATTCAAAACACAAAGTCTAAAAATATTACATAAATAATAAATTATATATATATATATATATATATATAATAAAACTAAAAAAATACACAAAATGTTTGGTGCAGTTTGAATCGTGGTTTGATAACTCAAAACCTCAAACCCCAAAATTATAGATAGTTATTGGAGATGTTATATCAATAAGGGGTTGTTTGTTTACCTCTTAATAGTTCCATTAAGAGACGGTCTCTGAATCTTTAAAAGGTGAATCTTGTTTGGTAAAAAAACCTGCCTCTTAATCTTTCTAAAATCCTAGGAATGATTTTGTATCATGAGCCTCCTTTAACCATTCAGCGTTCTAATTTCATTGTAAATAATTCTCAAACAATTATATTTTATTTTGCGCTATATCATGAAAGTCTCTTAATCATTCCGACCACTTAATCATTCTGTATCAAATCATTCAACAACTGCCAAACAGCCCCTGAATAAAGTTACTCTTTAATTATAGATGATTTATAAATTATTATAAGAGCAAATTATGGTTTTTGTTCATGTGATTTGTTAATAATTTTGATTATCGTCCCTGAGGTTTAGAAAATTTAATTATTGTTTCTATGGTTTGCAAGTTACTGTTATTTTTGTCCATGGGTTAATTTATACATTGAAGTATAAGGGACCAAAACAGTAAAATGTTGTAAACCATAGGGATCAGAAAAATAATAAACTGTAAATCATAAGGGCAAAAACAATGAATTACAAACTGTATAACTTTTAGAAATTGGTTATCTACATTGTTTTAACCAAATCAGTTATATGTAACCGGCTAATAAGGCTTTAAAATTTTACTGTTCCTAAACTCTATATCATTCAAACCCATCGCACCAAATGCCACTGTTCCCCATTTCGCCACTCCTCATCACCCCAAGCCTTTTGCTCTCTATCACCGCCCGTCTCCGTTATTGGCCCCTGCCATTCATCTCCATCTTTTTTTATCGTTCTTTCTTGTTTTTCAAGATATACCTGTAAGTACTACATTAAATTGTTGTAAAATATGAAGAATCGTAAGGCAAAGAAAAAACAGATCAAAAAGAGGAAAACGAATGGCAACGTGTGGTATGGAGAGCGGACAACGATGAGACAGTGTAAGATCCCACATTGTTTGGGTAGGGGAACAAATGTTGTCTTATAAGGGGTTTGATACCTCATCTATCATACGTGTTTTCAAACCATGAGTCCAAGTAAGTGGACAAAACGGACAATAATTGGTACAATTGACTTGAGATGTTACATATCGTATCAGAGCCGGGAACCAGACTGATGTATCAGCGAGGCCGACGAGGTTGGCCTCCCAAAAGGGATGGATTATAAGATCTCACATTGGTTAGGAAGAGGAACAAAAGTTGCCTTATAAAAGGTTTGATACCTCCTTTATTTGACTTGTTGGTCTAGGATGTTACAACCAATTGGGTAGTTTCTTCTAAGTTAAAAGAACGTATGTAACCAAATTTAAAAGTTCGATTATTTACCTACTAAAAAAATATTTACGAATTTAATCATTTAAAACAACTAGAAGGATACTCGTACAATGCAGCGAGATAAATCTTCATTTTAATATTTAATTTTTATTCTTTGTCTCTATTTATATAATACGATTTTATTCGGTTTTGAGAAAGCGATAATGTTTTTATTTTTGAATGAAATATAAATTTGAAGATAGCATAACAATTTTAAAAAAATAAAACCAATATTAGTATTAAATTAACTATTTAGTAGTTCTCGTTTTTTTTGTAACTTTTTTAATTCAATTTTTTATTATAATTTAATTTAGATCTAATAACAAAGTAAATTATTTTTGGTTTAATAATATAATTTTTATTAAAGATAATAATTAAACATTTTGTTAAAAACTCAATGATTATCTTAATTATATTTTTTTGATTTTCTATATTTAAAATAGATATTTATCTTGTATTTGATTATATTAATCTGCAGTTAGTTATACGAATTCAAAAATGGAGCTTTAATAAATTGTATTTATGCAAAATCACTTGTAATCTTGAATTTTAAGTAATATACATCAATAAACAGTACTTCATGCATAAAAATTGGTTTTTAAGAGTTTTGGTCAAATGTTTTATAATATAGTATAAATAATAATAATAATCTATATTTGCTTATAAAGCAAATTTAGGGTTTAGTAAAAGTTTTAAAATATTAAATGACCAAGCTACCCTTTATACACTTTTCACCCTTCCTCTCCTCACATGCACTCACCCCCTCACATATACTCACCCTCTCTCACAACCGATTTTTTTATAATTATAATTTTAAATTTACACTTTATATCTCTATAATTAGTCAATTAATTTACTTTAAGTCCTATACTTTTAAATGTTTTATTTTAAACCTTTATCGAATTAATATACATAATCATATATCAATTAAAACATGTTTAAAAAATACATTTTTATTTTAACAAGTCACACCATTATAATTGTCTCTTTAATACCTTCGAAATGAGTCCAATATTGAATAGTTTTTGACTTAATTATATTATTATATATTATATATACTGTAAAAAAATATTTTTAATATTTACGATTTATACTTTTATAGTTATATATATATATATATATATATATATATATATATATACTATATATTTCGGGGTTAGGCTGTCCAAATTGCACTATATTATATGTTCTGAATTAATATGTTCTTGGGTTTTTTGAAATATATATATATATATATTAATTCAACCTTAATCTGAGTTTCTAGACAAGAAATAGGGTAAACAGTTGAAATTTCATTCTAAAACTCATCTTTTTTGGTCTTTTCATGACTTATGATCTGTTAAATTTGTAGTTTTCTTTATTAGTTTTGAGTGTTTATCTTAAAACTCAAGTTTTTTGGTTCTTTGCTCTTAGTGTAAATCGAACACATTTGTAGAGTTGTTTAAATATATTGGATTTTAAATATATTGGATTTTAAACTGTCATACAATTTTTTTCATTGATAGTCTGTAATTGTAACCATAACTCTTATTTATTCAAATTGTATTAATATGTAAAGACCAAATGTAACTTATATCATCGTTAAATCTTATCTTATAAACCAGTAGAACTTCAAAATCGTTAAAATTTATGACTCCCGTCACATTATACGGGTACACAACTAATAATTTATTAATTAAAAAGAAAGTTTATGTACTTATTTTTGATTTTTTTTTGGTTAATCTTATTATTATTTAAGACAAATTATTTATGATTTCATGTTAAAAATGGTGAACTGCACAGTCACATGATATCTGCGGTTCTTTTTTCAAAAAGGAGGCGACTAGTTTTGGCATATGATGTAAATTACCAAGTTTGCCCTTCACATCACTAATAAGGGCCACAAAAATACAAATATCACTCCGTCGTACAAATACCAAGATTCTACACTTTTAGAAGCAAATGTACAACTTTCAATAGACGAAGTAGTGACTTGTTGAGCTAAGCGCCATTTACTTGTCATATCGGTGAACATGACAAGTATCAAAAATCTTATCTGGTAAGCTTTTATCAGGTAAAAATGATTTACTAACAGTTTATTTTGATGTCTGAGAATGTTATCAGATAAAACCACAAGGGTTATGACGTAATGGTTGAGGTCTTGGGATAACGATGGAATATCCCATCTGCCCAGTGTTCTATTTCAGTTTTTCAGGCGTATATAATAATTGTTACTACTGAGTTTATCAGAGCTGATTTATTGCAGTCACAATTTGTCGGGATTAGTTCAGGCATAGCTTAGGATACCCTTCCAAAAAATGTTACCCCGCAAAGTAAGTGAGTTTGTTACTCTTGCCGTTAAGCACTTACACTGATAAACATTTAATAAATAGCTCCTTAGTATGACACAACCTCCACAAAGATCTCCATATATTGTTTTGTAAACCAAACAAACTCGATATATCTCACACAGATAAAATTTGCAAATATGACTGTATGCAATATTTCCCACACGAAGAACATACTAATATGATTTAGGGTCCGTTTACCACACTTATCCGGGCAAGTGCTTACCAATAAAATTTAATACTATTACTTACTTACCGGGTAAGATTTTAGTCCACAAAAACGGTATTGTATGCAACAATTTACCTAGTAAGCGCTAACCATGGTAAGAGACGACGAACCTCACTTACCAAATAAGACTCTCGTCCTTGTCTTCGCTCTTACCTGGTAAGATTTTTGGTCCTTGTCATATGCATCTAGTAAGGTAATGTGACTTGTAAGAACCTTGCTCGGCAGTGCTCTAGACCAAGGGGCAGTTTACCAAACTTACCCGATAAGTTCTTACCGCTAAAATTTAACATTATTATTTATTTACCGGGTAAGATTTTAGAATCCACCAAAACGACATCGGATGCAACAATTTATCCGGAAAGTGTTTACCATGGTAAACGTCGTCATCCTCACTTACCGGGTAAGATTATTGATCCTTACCATATTCATCCGGTGAGGTAACGTAACTTTATTATTAAAAGTATAACTGTCATTTAATTAATTAAAAAATATAATAATTACACACCAATTGACAAGTGGGAATTAGTTGATTAGAGCATGAAGCATCTGATGATACAAATACAATTGCAATTGAATGCATACATGTTCTTTGTTTTTTTGAAGTTGGAAATCAATTTGTATTTCTCACCTTCAACTGCAAATCGAACCACAAATTCAACCCAAACCCATCTTTACCCTGGAGTTATTGAGGTTTATTAGCAAGGGTCCGACTCGAGACGCCGTGCAACAACTTCACAAATCCGAGGAAACTCAGCTTTCCGTCCGTGTGCCTTATCCAGTCGTGGAGGACGGCATGAACCGGGACCGATGGGCTTAACCCGAGTTCCTGGAGATATACGATGAACAAATTCACGAAACGGCAAATTGCATCAAAATGTGACGAAGTTTGGTTCTTGTTTAATGTAACGAACATTCGGTTTTTTTTTTCCTATTTTGTACTTATTTGACCTGATAAATCGGTTTTCATGTAGCATCTGTTGATCTTGATCAAGAATTACAGTATTACTCACTTGGCATTTACGTCGTCAGTTGTTGCAAAATCTACTGGCTACCGGTCAAAATAGGTACGAAATAAAAATACTGAGCTTTTGTTACGGTAATTGGGATTTTTTTTTGTGTTCTTGAAAGTGAACGAAAGGAATGGGAATGCAACAATTTTTCACGTTATTGAACCGGAAAGTAAGTAAAGACCGTCATTTTTACAAATATATCATTTATATTTCTTTTGATGGGTAGTTTTGTAATTTTAATAAATTGTCCGAGGGTCATTTATCTTTCCCTCCAAAACTTTCGAGAACACGTATATTTTTTGTTTTCCCTCCCTTTCCATCGTAGGAAAGATTTCGAAACTTCGATGGGAATTTTACTCGAGATGATTAAGTTTTGAGAAGAAAAAATGGCGACGAGTTAACTTACGGAAGCGAGTTCTTCTATCATGATGGCTCGGTTGCCATCTTTTTCAAAGAGTTCGTAGGCGCAACGAGCATGTTGTTCCCATCGATCAAGAGCCTCGAGCTGATAGATGTTTATAGCAGCTGCACAAAATTCCTCAAAATCCATCCTTCGGTATTGTAGCGCGCTAAGCTGTCATTACGGAAACACGCATGATGATATAATAATAGTATGCGAGTAAAACGAAGGATTTATAATGATTTTTCTCGATGACATACCGATGCTAAGAAATCATGGATACGTGACTCCTTCATGGCATCCGTAGCATGTTTCGTCAAGGCCTGAAATCGTTCACTAGAAGTTAAGAGCTTGATTTATAAGCCATCATATCGTTACAATTAGGGGTGTAAACAAGTCAAGGTTTTAACAAGCTACTTGATCGTTTATCTCGAGCTCGAGCTTAATAATTCTCGAACTCGAGCAGTCAAGCCGAAATCAATATACTTCTAACGTCGGATCAGGATCAACTAGGACAAAGATAAAGCATTGGGTCATCTCGAACACAAATTAGAACTCATTCAACTTAACGAGTCGAGCTTCATAAAACCAATGTTCGACTCGACTCGTTTGAAAGCTCGATTAATTTTTTCATGTCGAGACAAGCCATTCGAGCATATACTTTTCAAGCCAAACATACTCATATCTTCATAAATAATACAATAAAAATATAAAATGACAAATGAGGACTCTTTTTAGGTGTGGATAGCTAACATAAGATGTAATCGTTGCATCGGTTGCTCACCGCTTTGATATTTTCCATGCTTATGGATCCGTTTTTGCTCGGTTCTAACAAAGAAAATTGTTCCTTTAGATAGAACAACTCATCTACCGTCAACGTCTTCGATAAAGCCTGCAAATTGAGAGGAAAAAAACTACATTGAACACGAATTTAAGGAGAACGGACATATTGGCAAAAAGGGTATGACGCCACCCTCTGGACTCGCCCCTACGACCATCATGGTGGGAGGTAAGCCTGTCCCAGGGGAAAATGGGTGGTGCATGGAGTCGAACCCCAAAATTCCCACAAATTCTACAAGATGTCTACCTAATATGACACTGTTTCGAACGTGTCCTAAAAGCTTTTTAAGACACCCAAGAACGTCGTATAAACTTATTACAACACCTTTAGATGAGACACACAAGTGTTTTGTGCTATAAAGTAGTCTATTAGGACACATATTTTTGGTGTCCTATAGTAGCAATCCAAAAGAGTAGAGCGGTTGTTTCCATGAAGACCCTCAGCTTGCGAAAAGTGTGACAAAGAGAGAATCGGATAAGATAAAGTTCTGAAAATCCGACCAAGAATAAGCCGTAAAAAGAACATAAGCAACGCACCCGTAAAGCAGCTTTACGAAGAGCAGAAGAACGCATATAACCCTTCATTAGTCTCAATATCGAGATGTCAAGCGGCACTTTCACTTCATTACTACTTCTAATCCACGGATGACCTGCACCATATCATATCTCGATCAATTCAAGGTTATAAACGAGCCATATTTTAGCAACAAAAATAAAGGAGGCGCTTACTAAGGCCTTGAGCGGCCGTCATTCTTTTCCTAGGGTCCTTGTTCAATAAACGTTTGACAAAATCTTTGGCCTCGGAKGATARKGTAGGCCACGGTACTTCATCRAAACTYGGATSMGCTTTTAAAACRGCTCGAAAGATCCCGGAYTCWGWTCGWGCCCARAAAGGCCGGCTKCCRCACARAAGAATATATGCTATAACACCAATACTCCAAACATCGGCCTCGGTACTATACGATCTATGTAGAACTTCGGGGGCCACATAGTATGCACTTCCGACAATATCGTTAAGCCTTTCATCTGAAGACCCGTTGATACATAAAATCAGAGAGAGAAAAAGAAGGAACACATAGATACAAACACACGAATGTATGCGTAGAAAGGGAGAATACCGGGCTTCACAAAGTCCGACAAACCAAAATCTATGGCCTTAAGCGGTGAGCTTTCATCCTTGGACGTGAACAAGAAATTCTGATGCACAAACCGAAAAACGTTAATTACGAATTGCAAAAAAAAAAGATACACACACACGATCGAATATACAAACACGAAAGAATTCTGAGAGTAATGGCTTGTTTACTAATTGTTGACCGTCTCTTACTGGGTAAGAGACGCTTACCCGGTAAGAGGTGAGGTTGTTTACCCTACACTTTGACCGACAAATGACGTTGACCGAGATGCTGACTCGGTAAGGAAGGAAAGATTCTATGACTCGGTCAGCGCTTACCCAGATTGCACTCTTACCCAATTTGAGTCGGTAAACGGCCCCTAACTTTGTTTTAAAATTTACCAAATTTTGGCCGCCATAAAAAATTTATATTATGTTAATTAAATTCTGACGCCATCACCAAAATTCACGGGATCGACTTTACCTCTATCCCAAGGGGTGGAGAGGTCGTTTCCGTGTGAAGACCCATAAAACATGGCATCTCATCGACTTGTTTAAACTAGTAAGAACGTTACCTCCGGTTTCAAGTCCCGATGAACCACACCTTGAAGATGACAAAACGCAACAACGTTCAATATTTGTACCAATACGGCCTTGGCATCATCTTCGGTGTATTTCCCGCCTCTGCGAAAACATTTATTTTATAAATTTGGTATTCATCAATATTTACGATTAGCTCGACATCCAGGCTATGTTTCGCAAACTAGCCAATAAGCTAGATGACAATGTAAAATAACCTAAAAGACGTGCTGAAACTTTGACCAGAAAAATATATGAAATCCTTTGAGCTTATTGAAAGGCTACTTGAAGTAGCTTATTGCTAACCAAACGAGACCCTTTCAATAAGTTGAAAAAATAAGCTAGCTTATAGTTGCCAAACATGGATGAAATATGTCGTCCCAAATTCCCCTGTCCACTGAGTGTCGACCAATCACGTGAAACCACCTCATCCATTTATCGAGGAGAGAGAATGAAATGATGAATTAAATAAACTTATATTACGTAAAAAAAAAGGTTGACGTGGCGTCCCATGATTGGAGTACATGGAGTAAACACGGAAATTCGAGACAACGGATTTTTATCCGCCAAACACGACCTTAAAAGCTATAAAAATATTACCTTGAAAGTATTCTATCCAAGAGTTCCCCTCCTTCACATAACCTAAAAAAACCCCGATAAAATTTAAGTTGCGTAAAAATTAACGAGAAACCATGTGAGAAGATGACGAGTAAAACAGTCAAATCATCGCGCTTACTCCATCACAACGTAAACTTGTTCATGATCTTCATATGCATCGTAAAAATGCACCAAGTTGTTATGCCCTGTTAAAGCTTTCAATATCTTCACCTCCCTTCTCACATCTTCAATGGCTATGGCTGTTGTCATCTACATATACATATTAAAATTACAGTCAAGATTCCTTCATATTGCAAACAAATATAAACTACATTAAGACTTCTTAATTTAATTAAGCATCTCCAACAGCTATGCTAAAATAGAGAAAAGAAGAGAGAGAGAGGAAGTGAAAATCTCCAAATTCGGAGAATCCTCTAAAACTCTGTAGAGGAGAGAGAAGTAACAGCATCTCCAACAGCTATGTTATTTTAGAAATTTTAAAGATCTAGGAAAAGTTTGATCCAACGGCTATGAAGTTGGAGATGCGGAATTGAAATTAAATGTTTAGGAGAGAAAAATAATATTTTTATTAAATATATTAATATTTTAATAATATAGTTGATAGAATTGCTAAATAGACCCATTTTTACTTTTGATACTCTATTTTAGAAAAACATCCGCATTGAGCCATTGAGTCATCTTAAATGCTGCAAATTTATTGGGTAACCATGGATTTTACGGGGCCAGCTTCCGCGCACCGACTAATCCACGACCGACCACAAATGGCCTGAAGGTTTTTTTTTTTTTTTTTGAAGTATATAATATTTATATATGGCAAATAGAACAAATAAACTCACACACCCTCCTCACATTTGGCGAGGTTTGAACCATTGACCTCCTAGAAGGCCAAGGACTCAAATACCGCTAGGCCAAAGGCCCTTTGGTCTGAAGGGTTTTGTTAACGCCTGGATTCGAACACTAAGATTAACCGGTGCGGCAGTGCGCCACAACCCAAGCGGTTAACTGCGACAATTTTCATAACCGAAGTTGATCATGTGAAAGAACTCAAAACAATTTTGTTGATTTCAACTACAATGATTACTTGAATTGAATCAAGAAATCTTGAAATCCCAATAATTGAGATTAGAAAAACCATGGTTTGCTGTTCATGTGATCTAATCAAACACAAAAGGGTCAACTTCAGATCTAATCACTACCAACATACAAATCAAAATCAAAATCAAACCATATGAATTGATCGATAACCACTCAATGAATCATCATATCGAAATCAAACGAAACGATACCTTCGATTTGGGGATAACTTTGACTGCAACTTCTTGACCTTTAAGCTCTCCTTTCTTGAACTTAGCTTTGCAAGTGTAACCAAAATGGCCTCTTCCAACTTCTTCACCAAGCTCATATTTGCTCCCAAAATGCTTAGAAAACCCAAAGCTTTTATCCAATCCCGAAACCCCTTCCGGCTCGTTTCCCTCCGGTATAGCGGGCTCGTTCGGCTTCACTGAGCCATGCCGTCTCGCCAACACCGATTTAATGTGTTTCGCTGGAGAAGGAGGAGGAAACGGGCGCCGAAAGAATCTCCTCGGTGTCGAATTTGAACTCGCATTAGGCGCCGGAGATTTCGCCGGAGACTTTTTTGAGAACCAATTGTGAGCTGGACTGGGACTGTAAAACGGAAAAAACGGGGATTTCTTACCGACTTCAATTTCGTCTTTGGCGGTCTTCTTGTTCGAAGACGACGACGTCGTTTCTTCTGGTTGTTTATCGTCGTTATCATCATCTTTCACCGGAATTTCGATGTCGTAATGGCCGGAAAATTTGGATCCTGTCGAAGGTTTAGAGGTACAAACACCCATTTGGGGATTTTTCAGCAAATCCCCAACCCAAAAACGGGAAAATTAACGGCTTTTAACTGAGAAAAGAAAGAAAGAAAAAAACCTAACTTTCTTGAAGCATTGTATCATACAACATTTTGAAACCGATTGGATTCGATAAGATTTTTGAATTCGTTTCTAGGGTTTACTGCAATTTTGTCGTGGATTTTGGATAAAGAGAGAGAAAGCTCAACGAAAAGCAAAAGAGTGTGTGTGGGGGGGGTGTGTGTGTGAGAGAGAGAGAGAGAGAAGATGGAGATCTGTAAATGGTGATAAAAAGGAATGGAGATGAATCCAGGAAGAGAGAGTGTATGTGTATGTGTTTGCTTTTGTCGAAATTTGTATTTTTTATTTTTTATTTTTATAAAAAATAAATATTAAACAAATTTCTTAAAAACGGTATTTTTAATTTTAGGGTTGGGTTCGAGTCATCATTTTCAACCAGATAACCACATCTTCGATCTAACATTAACAACATAGAAGTGTTAACCATTGGTTGGTTTGGCTTTGACTTCAAAGGTTAAAGGTATCAGCAGATCCCAGATTCAAATATAATGAGGCATAAAAATCCCTTTGTGGCCACAGAGATTCAAATGCGGTTACTCCGGTCTATCTGCAAAGCATGTGGTCGTACTGGGATTAGTCGGCTCGCATAGCGGGTTGGATATAAAATATGTCTCTATTTTATTATATCAATATTATAATACCCAAATCACTACGTCCGCAAGTCCCACTTTCGCCTTACAAATCTAACTAAAAGACAAAAGGATTTATCAGATTTGACCTAGGTCCAGAATTGTGACGACCAATGTCCGCAATTTGATTTGTTTGTCTTTTATCTAGGTTCGCAAATGGCGAACGTGGGACTTACGGAAGTAGTGATATTTGGGTAAATTAAATAAATGAATGACTAGAAGATCAATTTATGTATGAGGAATGACTATTTTGACCAATTTTATAATATTATAATATATATAATAATCAATTTAGAAAGTTGGTTGCATTTTGGTATAATTTTCCCTAATTCTTACCATCTTATTTGCATTAGTTAATATATTATATTATTAGAGACTTATTTCAATTATTTTTAGAAATATTATAATTGATTAATTTTTTAAGATGTCGTTTTTTGTCATTTTACATTTTTATCAACTAGTTTTTTGTCAAACATGATTTGTCCATCAGCTAGCTTATCAGTCATCAGCGAGCTTATTAACTATCAGTTAGTTTGCCAAAATAACCTAAAACGGGAGATCCACCCTGGGATCAATCAAAATCGTTTACACGACTAAACACTGAAAAAAGAATATACAGAAATCATCCACAACAAACATCCAAACTAAAATAAAAACAAAAACATAAACCCAAATTTTGAAATGGACCACATTTCATCAGGGCGGATTTATTAAATCCCAAACAGGGTTCGTGCATCCCTTCAACTTATTTTCGTAATTAAAAAAGTTTTGAAGGGTGCTGCAGAATATTAAGGTTATTTGGTTTATGATTTTTCCAGTTCAACGTGGAATTAAAATTTAGGCTTGTGGAGATGAGTGCGTTATCTATACTATATTGTAAGGTATTTGACAAAAACTCTTAAAAATCATTTTTTATGCATGAAGTACCGGTTATTGATGCATATTACTTAAAATTCAAGATTACAACTAAATTGTGCGTAAGTACAACTTATTAAAGTTTTATATTCGCATTCGTGTAACTAATGTATACTATATTATAGAGCATTTAACAAAAACTTTAAAAAACTAATTTGATGCATGAAATATTGTTGTTTGATGCATATTACTTCAAATTCAGGATTACGAGTAAATTGTGCGTAACAACTTATCAAAGTTTCATGTTTGAATTCGTGTAACTAATCTATACTATATTATAAAACATTTGACAAAAGCTCTTAATTTTTTTAATGCATGAAATACTATTTATTGATGCATATTACTTAAAATTTAAGACGAGAAGTAAATTATGCGTAAGTACAACTTATTAAAGTTTCATGTTTGAATTCGTGTAACTAATATATACTATATTATAAAACATTTGACAAAAACTTTTAAAAGTCATTTTTTATGCATGAAGTAATATTTATTGATACATATTACTTAAAATTCAAGATTACAAGTAAATTGTGCGTAAGTACAACTTATTAAATATTCATGTTTGAATTTGTGTAACTAAGTGCAACAAACATATTCAAATAGAGGATAAACATATCATTTTAAATATAAGAATTTTAAATATAATTATGACACTCATTGAGTTCTAACAAAATATTTAATTACAATTTTTATAAAAAATTATATTATTAAACCAAAATTAAAAAAATGAATTAAAGAAATACACAAAAAAAGGAGAGATTTTAAATAGTTAGTTTGGTATTAATATCAATATTTTTTTTCCAGTTTTTTATGATATATCTTTATGTTTTTATTTTCTTCAAAAAATAAAAACAATATCGTTTTCTCAAAACCATATAAAACTGTATTATAATATCGAGCGAGACAAAAGAAAACGAAACATTAAAATCGAGATGTATCTCGCTGCATTGTACAAGTAACATTCTAGCATAATATAAAGCCAAATGGTCTCTTTTATTTTTTTTTATTACTGCTTAATAACTCTAACCAATAACCCCCTATAAATACATGAAACGTCAACCAAACAAACCGAAAAAATTATTTAAAATCAACCAAAAGTCTATTAAAAATATCTTTCGAAACAGTGAAATTCGGCTAAAAACATATTAGACGACTTTGCAGATCTTTAATCCACCTTAAAGGTACACCTGCTCGACAAAAATCTTGAATCCCCCACTTCATTTCATCTGAAAACGAAAATCAAAAGACATGAAATTCAGATCAAATAATTGCTAAAAGTATTGATAAACAAACAAGAGAAAAAACAAACTTAAACTTCTCCTTCACGTTCTCGTATTCTTTTTCCCATATTCACTGTCTTCTCGATAAAGTTGATAATGAGTATTTTAAAAAATTTCTCGTTACCTTTACTGTTTTATCATCATAAGTGAGTCAACTGGTACGTTTACTTTTAAAATCAAGAGAGTTTAGTTAAACAAAAAGAATATAGTTGTTAAACGCAGATGAACGTAACGAATATATAGGTATATTTCTTACAGATCAAAATGAGTTATTTATCCTATCATTTTTTTACCTTATAAATAACTGATATGTTAAATACATTTATAATAACTATATGTTAAAATAATTATATATATATATATATATATATATATATAGAGAGAGAGAGAGAGAGAGAGGTTGGTTATTATACAACCCTTGACATTTGTGCAACAAATACAACCTAATCTCAACCGTTCATTTCATTTCATTAATATGTTATTTCATAAAAGTTTTGATTGTTTCCTAATATAAAGTATTGATCATAATTAATGAATCATATTTATCTTCCATAAATATTCAAATCATAATAAATGAACTCTCATCATTTATATAAATATTTCAATTTATTGAGTTGCATTGGTTGTACAAATGCGATAGATTGTATTTGAAACAAACTATCTCTCTCTCTCTCTTTATATATATATATATATATATATATAAGAGTGTAATGACTTTTAAATCGTTCAACCTGTTTTATAACTAAGATTTCTAATCTTACTAGAATAACCTTTTATTATAAACTATAACCTAATTACTGTGAACACAGTGAAATAAGTTGTAAATACGTAATTTTATCCACAATTTTGTTTTTTTATTTAATTGACACTTATTTTCTTGTGTAAAAGGGTATGTGTAGATCTTGATTTTAATGATATTTTTCAAATTTGATAGATATATTAAAATGGATCTGAAAAACCAAATATGCTAAGAACTTGAGCGTTTAATATGACTGACTGGCTAGAATCAGTTTTGACATTCACTTTAGGCGATTCATATGTTTCGACTTTTACATAAACGATCTCCTTATGTACTTTTTTTTTCCAGCAACAGTAATTTGATTTGCAGCATTCAGCGCTTCCGACAAAATCCAAATATTATTTGTTTGTCAATACGCATGCACTACTTTGTTTTAATTTTTAAGCGATCGTTTTCATATGAAACTGATTTCATCAGGTGCATTCAAGATGCTGTAATAAGCCCTCAACATTCAGTGTTTTTCGCAATCAAGATCAGAAGACTGGATTATGAGTTAACCAGTTCATTAACAATATACATATTGTAACATCAGTAATATATTTAAGTTATTTTCTTTCGGCTGCAATCAAATCAACATACGTAATCATAAATTTAAAATAAAGGTAAGTTTAATAAATCAACAAATGTAAGCCCGTAATGAAACCCCAGCCTGAATACAAACAAAGTTGGACCATAAAAAGAGTTACTTTTTGTTGTTAAATGACCACACCACATCATGTGACCAATTAATTAATGATATTTTTATCAATTAAAAGGGTACTCATGTAATGTAATGAGATATATCATGATTTCAATATTTTTTTTTTCTCTGTCGATGTTATAGTACGAATTTATGTAATTTTAAGCAAACAATAATGTTTTTCTTAATAAAATATAAATATGAAGATATCATAAAAATTAAAAATAATATAAAAGTTCTTATTCTTTTGTGTAATTTATTTAATTCAAATTTTTTTTATAATTTAATTTAGATTTAATGATAAAGTAATTTATTTTTGATTTGATAATATAATTTTTATAAATATAATAACTAAGTATTTTGTTAGATCTCAATAATTATTTTAATTATGTTTTAGATTTTATATTTATAATAAGAATTTTATCGTGTATTCTATTATATTTATCTACGGTTATGTACACGAATTCAAACATGAAGCTTATAAGTTGTACTTACGCACAATTTACTTGTAGTCTTGAACTTTAAGTAACATGCATAATAAGCAGTATTTCCATGTATAAAATATGATTTTTAATTTTTTTTGTCAAATGCTTTATAAGAGGATGTTTGTTTATCTCCTAATAGTTTCATTAAGAGAAAATTTCTGAATCATTAAGAGCTGAATCTTGTTTGGCAAAAACAAAGTCTGCATCTTAATGGTTTCAAAAACCCTCGGAACAATTTTGTATCCTTGTTCTTCCTTAACCATTCAGCGCCATAATTTCATTGTAAACAATTATATTTCAATCTGCACTATGT